CAGCGAGACCCTCGAGCAGCAGCCTCCAGCTCTCCCAGCCCCGCAGCAAAGGTGCTTTGGGCCAGGCAGGTGCAGTTACTGCGGGACCCTCCTGTCCCAGGGCAGCTCCTGCTGCCCACGGGTCAAATCGGAACAAGCCTGGGGGTCCCCTGGGCTCCAGGGGTTTGGGCATCAGGGAGAGGGGCCTCTTCCCACCAGCCCCATTTGGCCCCACAGCAGGGTCTGCCTGTTACTTCCCGTTGCATCTTTAACAGTAGAGAAAAAAAGAAAGTCTGTATCAAAAATGCTGGTGGCATTGCTGCAATGCTGGGGTTGATGCAATCCATGCGGATTTCATCCCAGCGCGGGCTCTGCTGTGTCCCCTTGGCTGCACCCAGGGCCAGGGTGCAGGGGGAGTTGTTGAAGGGGGAGAAGTTTCAGGGATGCCTGAATCGCTTCAGCCCACCAGATGCACTTGCAAATCATTGAGACTTGCACTTCTGAGCAAGGGAGAAGGCATTTCTGAGAGCCCAACGCTACAGTCGCGCACCGCTGGTAGATGCTTACATGGCTAATAAAATCTGGGATGAGCCCCCCAACAATAACGCAGCACACAGGGCGGGAGGCCAGAACCGTTTTCTGCAGTTGCACCGCAGCCACAAATTGGGGTTTTTTTTCCCCCCACTTGTTAAATTCAAGAAATATCTCCAGATTTTCAGTGTTGCTGAGCTCCAAACTTTGGTGCAAATGACTTCTGCCCTGCTTGGTGAAGGGAACCCACAGGCAGGCCTGCTGCGTGTGCAACACAGAGAAAACACTGAATCTCCACGGAAAATCCCGCCTCTTGCCCACAGTTTGGAATATCAGTGAAGTGAAGGAGGAACAAACAGAACAGAGGAGGACACTGGACACCTGAGTGGAAGTGGAGAGTGGCCACAGCCGACTGCCTCCCCCATCTGAGGGAGACTCCAATGAAGCTGCTTTTCCCGCTTTGCTTTGCAGCAGTGCTGCTCTTCCCAAAGCCTGTGAGACACCGGGACGGGACGCTGTAGGGGAAGGAGCCAGCCCCCGTGCGCGTGGGCCAGGGCGGGTGAGCTCAGCGCCCTGTGGCCATGGGAGCCTGAAGGAGGCCACAGCGCAACACTGTCCCCCCTTGCAGAGGAGGGGCCCTCAGTGGTTCCTGGTGGGGCCCCGTTCTTCACCTCATCCCTTTGCAGGGTTTTTTGGCAGCTTGGAAGCTTCTGCAGAAGCCGGGGCAGTGGGGGGACAGGTACCCTAGCATACAGGTGCCCCTGCACGCAGGTACCCCAAAACGCAGGTGCCCCTGCACACAGGTACCCCCAGTATAGCACTATATAACTGCACATGGATACCCCAGCACACAGATACCCCTGTGTACTGCTACACCTGCAGACAGGTACCCCGTTACACAGGTACCCCAGTACTCAGACACCCCAGTATACCACTACATAAGCACACCGGTACTCCAGCACACAGCTATACCTGCACACAGATACCCCCAAATACATCCCTCGGCACCCAGGTACCCTGGCACGTGGGTGCCCTGGCACCCAGGTACCCCATCATCCCGCTGCCCCCAGGCAGGGCCCCCCGGCCGCGCCACGTGCCCCACGCGGCACTGGGCTGGGCTCAGCAGGGTTTTGGCTGCTCTCTGGAGCAGACGAGGTCGGTGCAATTTGCCTTTAATTGCAAATGTCACGAGACTTACTCCAAAGGCTTTTATAAATTACCAGCTCACTTGATTTAAAAAGTGTGATGGTAGGAAATAACGAAGGTTGCTTCCCCTTGTTGCGACAAATTTGCATTCGGCCCATGGACAACGGCAGCGGGGCTGCGGCGTCGCTGGATTTCTTAGGAAAAGTTACCAGCAGCCTGTGAGACAGCTGGAATTCATATTAGAATATTTTTAACGTGCTCTTACAAATACTTTGGCATACGCCTATTCCACTCCTTTTAATGATGTTGACTTCATTTCCTTTAATATGGGGGAAAAAAAACGCTACACCAACAAGACTTAATTAAATTAATACGAAGAAACAATAATAAATAATTCCAGTTGCGTTACTGCAGGGTTGCAAAATACGGACCAGGGTGTTTGACTGATACAACCCAACCGCGCCGCAGCTGAGTTTTCCAGCCCGCCACGTCCAGGGGCTCCCCCCACCCTCTCCCCTCCTCTTCCCCCTTCCCCCTTCCCCCCGTGCCTGATGATGCTTCTCCCCTTCGCCCCTTCCCCTTCCCTTCCCTTTTCCTCTTTTTTCCTTTTTTTTCATGATTAAGCCTTCAGAGACGGCTCTGTCTCCTACAAGCAGCGCAGCTCTGGCCGAGAGCAGAGAGGTGCATTTAGGTTCGCACGTGCTGCCAGCTACATGTGGCCCTTCCCGCTGCATCCTGCATTTGCTGCACGTTGGCGTCGTTGGCCGCCTGCACTCCTGGTGCTGCCGCCTGACGTTTGCTGGCCTTCTCTGCCGTGCCATGGTCATGCTCTACCTGGGGCTGGTGGCACCGTCCAGGTGCATTCTCTGGGCTGGCCAAATCAGATCGGTTTTGTAAGCATGAGCTAGGATTCCCCAGCCATCTCTCTCAGCTTTGGTTTTGGGATTCTCATTAATTTCTGGGCTCAATTAGAGACCCAGATACGATCCAGTGCTCCCTTTGATCACTCAACAGCCCCCAGTTTGTTGTACAAGTCTCTAAAGTTTTGTCCTCTCTGGGCTGCTTCTCCCTCCCTCCTGGCACCCCAGTGCTCTCCAGATTCTGCGGCGCTGCCTCAGCCTCTTTCCTCTTCCC